AGCCCCACCCACACACACAACCCCCCACCCCCATTCTTCTCTAAGTGGCCATTCTTACTAAGGGCAGGTTCATATATCCCCTTTACTTCCTGGAACTCTTGCACATGTGACTTGGACATGGGACTATGCACATCATCTCAGTGAAGAGAATGCTTTTCCCTGAGATCTCATGAGATTTCCCAGCAATTCTCTGCTGATGTAACCTTCCCAGGATGCAACGCTTGGGCACAGATTACATCATTTGTGCCAAAGTGGACCAGGAAGTAGAAAAAAAAGAAATTTTTGTTTAGCTAATCAATGTAAGGTGCTTTCATGTCAGCATGCAGAGCTGCATGCTGATAGGATTTTTAGTGAAAGGGGGTAAAGGTCCACTTTAAGCTATTTTAAAATGCTGACTAAATCACTTACAAAGTTTTATTCCTCTGCAGAATCAACTGGTCTCCTGAGGACAAGTTTTATTGAGTTTTACAATGTTACAAAAAATTGTATATTTTAAGTTTAGGGTTCACATGACTGTTCCAGAATCTTGTGGGGTGTGAAACAAGTGCATGCCATGTGTACCAAGCAAAATTACATTAATTTCAAATGTGTTTTCAGATGTTTGCCTGGAGTTGAGCATTAAGCTGCTTTTTCCTGTGCAATAATTTTCTAGTTTGCATATTTAAAGTGACATTGCACTCAGGAGTTAAGAGAACTAAGGCGTAAGTGTTTTTCCCCATGGTTCTCTTTAGGGTCACAGGAGGACATATACTAACCTCCTCCCGTGACCCAAAGCTCAGTATATAGCGGGCCGTTGTGTGAGTGACAGCTGGCTCTGCCTATCTAGAGGCAGAGCCAGCTGTGCCCGCCCCCTCCCATATCCGTTCCTCCACTCAGTGCTGGTGGATTGGGGAGCGGTGACTGACAGTCACAGCTCTCTGCAGGGAGATGATCGGAAAGTGAGTGAGCAACGGTATGTGTTCGCTCACTTCCTGAATTATAGAGCCGACGTGTGACAGCTTCTTTGTCACACGGCGGCTCTAACTATGAGGATGAGTGGAAATCACTCGCCTCATAGTTCTCCTTTTTTTTAAATCTTAAAAATGCATTCATTTTTTTTTTTTTTTTTTTTTTTTTTTTTTTTTTTTTTTTTTTTTTTTTTTTTTACCGATTTTTAACAACGAAAATGTATCTTATTTGTATATCACTCGGCTGTAGATCCTCAGATCATCTCTGAATTCATGCGGACACTGTCCTTCCTTCTGGGGGGGGATACTTTTTTTACCCATGGCCCCCACATGTTGTAAAGTAGCTACTGCTCCAAGCTCACTCATGTGATGAACTACAATCTCGATACAAATTAGTAAGCTAAATGTGAGATTGTAGTCCATCACAAGAGCGAGCTTGGCGCGGTACAACCCGCATTGGGAACAAAAGAAGCCATCCTCCAGAAGGAAGGACAGTGTCAGCACCAATTCAGAGCTGATTAGAAGATCTACAGCTGAGTGATACACAAATAAGATACATTTATGTTATTGGGATACACTAATGCATTTTTAAGATTTTGAATCCTGAGTTTAGTGTCACTTAAATGCTCAATGACTATTTTTAAAAAAAGTAAAATTTTTATTCATCTGTACAATGTTTTTGTTTTGCAGCTTCCTTTATCTTTGTTAAAGACGGCGCAGAACCATCCTATGGTATGTAGTCACGTTTTAAACATTTATTTTATGAAAGCATTTGCTCACATTTTTCATTAGCTCTTGTAACTTGAATGAAGAATATTTGCATTATTATTATTTATTATTATTATTATTATTACTACAGGATATATATATATAGCACCAATAGCTTACGCAGCGCGTTACAACGGTAAAGATAGTTTAGTGTCACTTAAATGCTCAATGACTATTTTTAAAAAAAGTAAAATTTTTATTCATCTGTACAATGTTTTTGTTTTGCAGCTTCCTTTATCTTTGTTAAAGACGGCGCAGAACCATCCTATGGTATGTAGTCACGTTTTAAACATTTATTTTATGAAAGCATTTGCTCACATTTTTCATTAGCTCTTGTAACTTGAATGAAGAATATTTGCATTATTATTATTTATTATTATTATTATTATTACTACAGGATATATATATATAGCACCAATAGCTTACGCAGCGCGTTACAACGGTAAAGAGAGACAGTACTATTACAATACAGTTCAATAAAAGAGTAGAAGGGCTGTGCTCATAAGAGCTTACATTTAAAAGGTGGGGGGGAGGGGATTAGTGCGGGCAGCAAGTGATGCTAAAGGTAATATAACTGAGGGATGAGCTGACAAAGGAAGTAAAGGTACAGTTTTCAGTGGAGGTGGTATTGGCTTCCCGATGAGTTTTCAGGTCTCGCCTAAAGGTGCACAGAGTAGGACATAACCAGACACAGAGTAGGACATAACCAGACAAGTTGGGGGTTGGGTATTCCAGAAGGAGCGAGAGCCCCTGGAGAAATCTTGAAGGTGAGCATGGGAGGAGGTGACAGAGCTAGAAAGCAGTAAGTTGTGATAGGAGCGGAGGGGATGTTTGGGTGGGTGATGATTTGAGATAAAGTTGGTGATGTAGCTGGGGGGAAAACTTGTGAATGGTTTTGTATGATAGTATTTTTAATTTTATTTACTAGCCAAGTGGAAGCCAGTGGAGAGATGGGTAGAGAAGTGTGGCAGCCACTTGTTGGTTGGTAAGGTGAGTGAACCCGGCAGCAGCATTCATGATCGACCAAATGTGGATAGCTTGTGTAGAGGAATGCCAACCAGGAGGGATTTGCAATAGTTAAGGAGAGAGATGACCAGAGTGAATCAGCAACTTTGTAGTGCCACGTGTCAAAACAATGCAAATTTTGTAAGTGTTACAAAGTTTCAGGCAGCAAAATTTGGTGTATGTGAGGCTGAAAGCGGAAGTCAGAGTCCAGGATTACACCTAGCATAAGGGGATAGATCGAAAGTTGTGATATTGATCTCAATGGAAAAGTTGGGGGAGCAGACTTTTTTTGGGGAGGGGGGAAGGTAATATGAGCTCAGTTTTAAAAAGATTGAGTTTGAGGAAGCGGCGAGACTTCCATACTGATATGTCAAGTTATTAAATTAGTGATGTGAGAGGAGACTGAAGGGGTGCGCTGAGGAGTATAGAGATAGATTTGGGGAATTCTAACTGGAAGAAGGATAAAGTGTAGGTGACGCTGAAGGTGTGCTGTGATGGTTAGGAGGAGAACCAGGAAAGAGCAGAGCCTTGGAGGGAGTACAGTTGTTTGTTTTGGGATTTTTTTTTTTGAGGAGCAGCAGGTGTTTAACTGTTTCAAATGCAGAATAAAGGTCTAATAGAATGAATGCAAGTACTGGCCATTGGCCTTAGTAGTTGGTAAAAAATAGTTAGTGAGATTTAGGAGCGTAGTTTCTGTAGAGTGTTGCAGACTGTAAGAGACGTCCGATCGCTTGAATGTAAACCGTCATCCAAGAAGATCCCGGCTGGCTGTTTAATTACAACGGCCGGCCGGGAAGCTACTCGTCCGACTCCGGGTTCCTCGTCACAGACGGGAGTGAGCTTGGAGCAGTGGCTACTTTGCAACACACACAGGAACAAAAGTAGACTCCCTCCAGAAGGAAGGACAGTGTCAGCAGGAATTCAGGGATGATTTGAGGATCTACAGCTGAATGATGCAGGAATAAGATACAGTTTTGGTAATGGTTAAGGTACTTGAGTGCATTTTTAGGATTTCCCTTTAGTGTCACTTTAAGTTCAGAGAGGTGAGGTGTAGCTATATAAAACCCCCAGTGCTGATTAAATACCACCAAAAGAAAGCTCTATCTGTCCCCAAAAAATGGTGTAAAATTCATTTCAGTACAGCGTTGCATGACGGAATAAACGTCAATCAAAGTACCGCAGCGCTGAATACTGAAAAATGGCCTGGCCAGGAAGGGGGTCTAAACACCTGGTCTTGAAGTGGTTAAGTATGGAGATGAACAGTACATATTTTAGAGGCGTGAGAAAGATGCCAGGAGAGAGGAACAAATTGAACATGCGAGTTAGTGATTGTAGAATAGAGCAAGAGAGTGACTGTAGTAGTTGTGAGAGAACACGGGGCAGGTGGTTAGGAGCATGTTAGAAAGTAGTTTAGTATCCTCCTCTATGGTAACGGTGGAAAAAGAGGGAAGTGTTGAATGTGGTGATAAGTGATAAGACATGGTATTTTAGGTGGGGGTGATATTTTGACAGTGGAATTATCATAATGGATTGCATCAATCCTTGTTTTTGAAATCTTTGGAGCTAAATGATTTGGTGTGTGGAGGCAGTGGTGGGGTGAAGTAGAGTTGATGAGGACTGGATGAGTGGGTGTTCATAAGCCACAGTTGCTCAAGAGCACAGTTATGTCTTTTGAGATTTCTTGTGGTATCTGCTTGCCCAGGCTGTAGCAGTTGAGGCCTAGATATGTGTTGCAGGATGAGCGCAAGATTTTGTAGACAGTGGCTAGGTCAGGACTGGACACAGGTGAGATTTTGTTGTTGGGGTTAAAGTGGCAAAGGTTCCTACGGGCAACTGTTTGCTGGTTGGAGGGTTAGGGGGTTGGAGAGAGGGAGAGCGTGAAACTGATGAGATTGTGATCAGAGAGGGCAAAAAGGGTGGGAGAATGCCAAGTCAAAGGTGTTGCCATCAGTGTGAGTAGAAGTGTTTATCCATTGTGTTTTGGTCAACAACAAAAAAAAGGTTGGGTTAAGGATCGGAGAGGTAGTTGAGGTGTTAACATTAACAGGGATGTTAACGTTGTCAAGGAGGATAGTGGGTATTTCAGAGGAGAGAAAATGGGGTAGCCAGGCAGAGAAGTTGTCAAGGTAGTGTGACACTGGAACAGGAGGCCAATTTAATCACAGCAATCCTCAGAGAAACTGGAGAGAGAAAAAAATTACAGTGAGCTTCAAAAGAAGAGGGGCAAAAAAGGAGGCGTAGGAAGAACCTGAAGTGTGCTTTGTGTGGATAGGATTCCAATGCTCCCATCCCTTTTGAACATTGGGTTTAGGTGAGTGAGTCCATTGGAGTACAAAACACAGGAGTTTCCCAGCACACTTACCTGCTAGCATGCAACAAACCAAATTGCCCTGTCTAACAGTATGTGTTAAAAACAGAGGTTTTAGTTGCCCAATTTTATGCAAAAATTAAGCCTGTGAGGTTTGATGTACAACACGCTGCACGGACCAGCTTAGAAAAGTGCCGTAGGTGTCGGATGATAAATGGCTTTCTTTCTTAAAGGAGAATTATGGGGTTAGGGCTTTTCCCCATAGTTCTCCTAAGGGTAACGGGAGGATACAAGCCCGCGCTATACTGAGACGCCGGAACGGATCCTGATAATTATGGCTGGATCCACCCAGCTGCTTGAGTGACAGCTGGCTCTGCCTATCTAGAGGCAGAGCCAGCTTTACCCGCCCCCTCCCCTGTCCGTTCCGTCCAGTCAGCGCTGGAGGATCGGGGAGGGGTGAATCCAGCCCCTCCCCTGTCACGGCTCTCTGCAGTGACAGGATCGAGAAGTGAGCAAACACCGGTATGTGTTCGCTCACTTCCCGATCTACTGAGCCGACCTGTGACAGTCTCATTGTCACAGGTCGGCTAGAACTATGAGGTGAGTGAAAAGCACTCACCTCATAGTTCTCCCTTCATGACTGAGGCCTTTTTTTAATTTTTTGCACCCATGTTATTTTCCACATTTTAGGCCTGAAAATTACTTAAAACCCCCCAACATTATATATTTTCTGAATGCCAAGACCCTATAGAAGAAAATGGTGGTAGTTGCAAATTTTTATGTTGCGCAATATTAGCACAACTCCTTATTAAACCCCAAAATTTAGTGACAAATTTAATTGCCTCAAAACACAACAAAATACAATTTTGTTAATGAAATATAAAAGTGGACTGCGCACGTGAGAACTGGAGCCCATACAACACATAGGGATACATTGGGATGCATTTTTAGTGCAGGAGGCCCTCAGGGAATATGGAAAAGGTAATGGGAGAAACCAAATAACTTTCTCTTGTCTTTTGAGATGGGCATTCGTTGATATTCTAGGATTTTCTTGTGTGTGGATTTTTTTTCCAGCTTGTTGGCTTTCTTGGTTGTGATATTCTTGAAAATTTGAAAGTGTAATAGAAAAAAAATAAATAAAACTTCTTCTTTTCTTAACTAGTTGGTTGAATTAAAAAATGGCGAAACCTACAACGGGCACTTGGTTAGCTGTGACAACTGGATGAACATCAATCTTCGAGAAGTTATTTGTACTTCCAGGGTATGTTCCCTTCTTCTTGCACTTTTGTTGTGTATTATTTCTTTAACCCCTTCATGACTGAGCTTTTTTTTCAGTTTGTTGGTTAATGGCTGAAGCACTCCTTACATTTTTGCTGTGTGATTCTTCCACGGCAGTAATATACATTCTTACGAAGTGCACACACACATATTATATAGGGATGCACCGATACCGATACTAGTATCAATATCGGTGCCGATTCCGAGTATTTGGGCAAGTACTCGTACTCGCCCAAATGCTCCGATGCCTAGCACGAGTACTTCCAGTATCAGGATTTCTATGCGGAAGCATTCAGCAAAATGTAAGTACACATCGGGATTACTGCTGCCTGCGGGAGGTTTGGGCACTGACAAACAGAAAAATTGCAAGCCAGCCCCTGTATAACCCCTTTTTCTACCCAGCATGTCAGGTTTTGCTAGTGTCCTAGGAGGATGGATGTCACTTTTTTTTTTTTTTTTAAAAAAGCTCTGCTGAGAAAAATCTAAAATTGACTTAATTTAACATTGCTCACTACATTGCTGCTTAAGGCCTGGTTCACACCTAGGCGTATTGCATATGCGTGTCTGTCGATTCGCGGTAAAAAAATTGCGCGACAAACGCGCGTTTCCGAGGGCTACTTAGCTGTATCCCAATGGAAACGCGCAACAAAAACGGCCTAAAGTAGTACATGTACCTTTTTCAGGCGTGGGCCGTTTTGTAGCGCGTTAGGGACGGGCTGAAATACGCCAAGGTGTGAACCAGACCCATTGAATACAAATGGTATTTAGATGTTTGAGCGTTTTGTAGAGCGTTCGTCGAGCGTAGAACGCGCTACAAAACGTTCAGGTGTGAACGAGGCCTAAGGTGGTCTCCACATAGCAGCTATCTAGATTGGTGTTTCCTTTGACTTTTTTATGCTGTACCTGGACCCCCCTAGACTAGACATTGTGGAGCTAGCCTTGAATATGACCTCTGGGCTCGGCATTGTGGCGCCTCACAGACCTGAGTGTACTGTGTTAGTTAGCTTCAGAGTGCTTTCTTAGGTCCACAGCCCTGAAACTACCCCAGATGTTACCCTGTCTCTGAAGACTTGTTTTGTGAGTAAGGCCAGTCGAGCTAAAACATATGGCACTGCCTCACTGTTTACACTGCTGGGTACCTTTCAAATTTCCTGCTACCACTGTTTTTTCTGTGGAAAGGTTTAATGACTGTGCACTGATATCCACTAGGTGAGGTGCCACATGCAGACCACAATCTTTCCTGCCATTCAGCATAGAGGAAGCACCATTTTGCTTCTCTTTTGAATAGCACCATGTGGAACTTTTGTCTCTGGTCTGTTACTGCTGCCTGCCAACAGTGGCCTGATCACCTCCAGCTGTCTGAATCTTATCAGCACCAGGGCCTGGATTTGTGAGTACCTAATGCCTTGCCTCTTACTTTGGGCCTAGTTGTAGCTTTGCCATGTGGGTGAAACATGTCTTCACACAGACACAGAGGGGGACATTCCTGCATTGGGTGATCCAAGCCCATACTCCTAGTGGTTCTGGAGTCATCTACACTTTGAGGAAATGGACGCCTGCTATCTGAAATCCGGTGACCCTATAGTTATAGGGTCTACATCACTGGAGTTGTCTTTAGCTCCGCCAGGTGTGGCAAAGTCCTGCTAAAAAACACCTGCTATTCAAAGTACTCTATGTAAATCAAAAGCCCCCCGAAAGGTCCTGGGTTCCACCTGAGTGTGCTGGAACAGTTTCCCATGAGAGCGAAAAACAATGGTCTATAACCTACTATGGCTTTACCAGTACCCACCTTAACATGACGGGCAGTTGGAATCCCAGTTTACATTGGCAGGCTCTGCACTTTATCCTGAGATGACTAACCCTAGTCTGTCAAACCCTAGCAGAATGGGTTGGATGTCTGGACCCTTCTGCATCAGCTGTGAGGACTTTTTTATTGTATGCATTTAAAATTCGTGTCCCATGTGGGTCTGCTGTCCATTCAAAAGCGCAGAGCTCTGATTAAGATGCTGATGCCACATACCAAGAGCATCTGACTTGTTTGACCTTCAACAGATGACATCTCTTTAGCCCTACACTTGATACATATACGTAAGAGGACTAGGGAGATGTCAGCTGAGCCCCCACCTTCTCCATCTACTTCTTCAGTAGGTACCTCCGGGCTCACGGGTATCTTATCAGGGTTGTAGTCACAGACCATCTAAGCTCTCTGACAAACCTTCAGCATGAAGGTGCAGCCAAACTTTTACAAGTGAGGGGCTGTTTTTTGCATCCTCTTGGGTCCTTGGGTAGTTTGCCCTTCAGACATTCAGTTGCAGAGAACTCCCTGTTGGGCACACAGGCTAACTGCTGGTACTCTTTAGCTGTGCCCTCTTTTCTTCCCTGGGCTACCATACAGATTGATGCATCTTCCAAGGCCTCCTCGGGTTCATCTCACCCCTGTATCTCCTGCTTCAGTCTCTGTGGCTGCTCAGCCTCTGGGTCTGGGCACCATCCAAGCCACCAATTTCTTCCACAGAGAACTGCGCTTCCTTTGGGGCATCCTAGACTCTTGATGGTACTGGGTACCCTGCAGTGTCCTTCCTCTCCAGAAAGATTCTCGCCTAGTAGGTCAGTTGGGGGCCAGCTTTGAGACTCCCACATCCGGAGAGAGATCTGCCTCCTTGTTGTTGCTCTCAGAGCGTTGACTTCTGTTTTTAATTTAGTACTTTTTCCTGACGCTCCAACGACCTCCTTTTGAAGAGAGTAGGCATTGTGGATCCTGGTGAACAACATCTCCCCGAAGGGCACTCCAACACCTGCAAGATCCATCTGTCTGTCACTTGTAGGAGATAACCATTGCTACAAAGGTTCACAGCATGTCTACCTTTCAACCCCTCACCAAGCAGAAGCTTGACCCCTCTTTCTCTTCATTACAGAAGTGTCTGGTGTTGGGGTGTATCTTTTTCTTCATAGATGTCTCCCCTTCTGCCATCCTTTCCTGGTCCACTTCAGCCCCTTCTCTACTGTTCCAGGTTCAGTTCCTGAACAGTTCATTGTGTTTGTCTCTATGGACCAGTAGGTCCTGGTGTGTTTACTATACTTCAGGCGGCAAAAAAGAGGCTTCTCCTATGGTATAATCATCATCTCTGGAACTTCTGCCTGGTACCTCACAACAGGTGGTTCCTTCTACACCATGAGATTCCATTCTGGGTCGTTCTCCTGGGTGGAACTCTGTTGAACACCAGTTAGTCTTTGTGAGTCTCAATCCTTTTTTCTGCCCTCCCTTTGTAAGAGCGCTTCCTTTGCACCTCATACCTTCAGTTGTGTTGATTTCCGATTCTTCCTTGGCAGACTCAGGAGTCGCATCACACTTCATTCAAGTTATCATGTTCTAACTGATTCAGGGATTTCCCTGCAAAATGTTGCTTAGCGAGGTTAGTTGCCTTGCCCCAATTCTTTTGACATGTACTCCCTATAGGTCCAGGGTGAAAGGCTTAGGGCTTTTCCTTTTAGACAGACTGGAGTTTTCACCAGAACCTGTTTTTTTTGTTTAGGTTCCCATTTGGGACCTGTTACGTCCAGGGGCTTGCCCCCATTTTTTTTAAACTACATTTGGCTGTGGTCCTTGTGTTTACTACAAGGAAAATCGTTGTTCCACCAGTTCTTTCTGGGTTCTGGTTGCTCACTGATTCAAGTTGATCTGGTTTTCTGTGTGGAGTCATCTCATCCTTGGTGGTGGCCTTTTTTATTTTTTTTCCTGGTCTAAGTTTCAGGTTGATTCACTGTACCTTTCTGGTTGTGTGGTGGCGTCCTTTATCTGGTAGGAGGTTTGGCTTCATACAATACAGATTTGGACCTTGCAGCCCAGAGGTCAGTCCCCTGTTCTTTTGTGCCTGTTAGTGGTTTTTACTGTATTACCCACCTCTGCTTTTGGATGTCCAGACAATCTGAATTCCTGTATCCCTCAATGGACGAGAAAGAAATTGGAGTGTAATCGGACAGATTGCACAGCTAAAGTCAGTAGCACCCAGTGGCCAGCATGGAGGAGCATGCAAGTCTAAAGGGATTCCAGAGATTTGTGCTTTCAAATAATGCTCTGGCTTAAAACTGCTTTGCCTGGAACAGCATTACAATGGCTAGGGCTGCCCATCAGGTGTAGGGGTGTGGAATTCCTATCGCCTGACGCCCTGGACATGCAGTGGCGGGTATTTTTTTTTCTTCAACATTTAGCCCTGTTTAGGGCAAGCAGGTTTAAATGTACAGCCGCCGAGATCACTTGTAATCTCCCAGCTGGCTGGCTGCCTCCCTCCCTGCTCTGGTTTTTGGGGTCTTCTGGGGGACCCTGGAACCATGGCAAAGTAGTTCAGGATGGAGAACAGAGAATGTCCGTTCTGCTCCATGTGAACGCTAAGACAGGAACGCTGCACACTCAGCTGTCCCATCTCGGCTGTCACAGGAGAGCCAGCACAGTGCTGTGCTCAAACTCATGTATTGGAGAATACATCAGAGAACCTGTCATCTCCAATGCTGCCCCCATTCCACTGTGTGCTATAGTGTGGTAGCTGAGCATTAGCTCTCTAACACACACAATGTGCATGAAAGGGTACGTTCACTTTCCCAAGTAATTTTGGAAAATGGAATTACCTGCTCAAATCTGGCCCCCTCTCCCCACCCCACTATACTTATCTTTTTGCAAACAGTCTTTCTCCTCTGCAGCCCTGCGCCATGGATTTTGAGTTTCCCTAGGAAATTGCGAGCACTCGTTGGTCAGCTCGGTCACCTGACCGCACTGACCAATGAGAAGCATTTAGCACGGTTAAATACGGTTTTTGTTGTATCATGACAAGTAGATTGTTATGAGGGACAAGTAGATTGTCTAGCCTAGCACAAGTACTTACGGTGTCAGGAAGCCGGGCAGCGCATCATTACACGCTGCCCGGTTTCCCGATTGGCCTGGAAGCGGCTCCATGCTCTCTCATCACTTGTGATGAGAGAGCATGGAGCCGACTTCCCGGCCAATCAGGAAGCCGGGCAGCATGTAATGACGCGCTGCCCAGCTTCTTGATTGGTTGAGAAGCTGGCCTCGTGAGGTAAGGTTACCTTACCTTAGTATGTGCAGCCTGTCACCCCCGGGGGCCTCTCCAGCGAGAACGCGTCCTTCCTCCAGTACCCAGCCAGAGCCGTCTGGCCGGCCTATCAGGGAGCTGGGCGCCGTGTAATGACGCAACGCCCTGCTTTCTGATTGGCCAGGAGGCCGGCTCCATGCTCCCTCGTCATCAGATGACGAGGGAGCATGAAGCCAGCTTCCCGGCCAATCAGAAAGAAGGGCGTCGCATTATTACACGATTACACAGTGCCTGGCTTCCTGATTAGCCAGACGGCTGGGTACCGGAGGAAGGCCGCGTTCTCGCTGGAGAGGCCCCGGGGGTGACAGGCTGCATATACTAAGGTAAGAGGGGACTTTCTTGTTAATCGGGAAGCCGAGTGGCGAGTCTTTACACGCTTCCCGGCTAATCAGGAAGGCAGGTGGCGAGTTATTACACGCCACCTGGCTTCCTGAATGGGACTTCCGTTACTCGGTAATTGGTATCGGCAAGTACCGAAAAAAAATTATCGCTACTAAAATACCGGTATCGGTGCATCCCTACTTGAACAAGTAGTTGTGTTTTTTTTTTTTTTGTTTTTACATTTCCACACCCCTGAAGAGGTATAGCTCGTGAAAGAAGATGTTAGATGAGCAGTAAATGGTATTTCGGGAGATGTACTGTTCCCAAACAATGTAAAGTGTCCCCAGTAAGCACTGTTGCCATGCTGACAAAGCAACTTTGAATATGGGGCTGTTTTCATAAAGCAGGTGGCTGCAGATTGAAAGTTAAAAAAAAAAAGTATTTTTTACTAACCTTTAAATAGCAAATTAATGTGTGCAGCAATTAAGTGTTAGCCGTGTAACGAAAATGGATGTTCCCCTTCAGGTACTGTAGGAAAGTATTCACAACTGCAACTGGTAGTTTTTGCACCTTGAGCAATGACTGCATAAAGCGTTGCCATATTTGTTTCTATTGGCATATCTGCCTGAAGGCCCATGGCAGACTAGAGATCTTGTCCCTGGCAGCAACTACTCTGCAAGAGGATCACCAAATAGAACTTGCCTGCTTTATGGCTTTGAAAAATTGAAAGTTTTACCCCTTGTGTGGCGCTTAACAGAGGTAGGGGGAAAATGTGGTGGAAGGGGATTGGGGTGTAGGCGTAAGTGTTGTACTCACCTGAGGCTGGGTGAGTATTCGCTTGTAATCGTCGGGTGATGGTCAAGCGGATGGAGTGGTGGTGGTAGTAGTCTCTCGTGGAGATAGTGGAGGGCGACTCTCAACGATGACGGCGCGGCCTGTGTGGTGCCTGGGCGGTGGGCCGTGGAGTGGTCCTCGGGGAGTCCTGGCATTGGTGTCCTCCGATGACAGGTGCTGTGGAGTGGTAGAGCGACGGGTGGTCCTAGATGGGGGAACTGAAGAGCGGTTGGAGGTGCCGAAATGTTCAGTCTCAGTGGCGAAGAATTCATGTTGGGGCTTTCGCGCAGCCCGACGGAGCTGTGACCTGCAGGCGTATGCTGGAGAAGCCTGTAATGCGGGTGTAGCGGCGTGAGCCGTGGGGAGCGGGTCATAGGCAGAAGTGCCGGGGGTTGGAGCCGGGTGTCGAGGAGCGAGCGGTATCCGTGAACAGCTGGAGTGTAGGAGACACTCTGAGGACCCGTGGAGACCGGGCTGACGGCGACGCGTTTCAAAGGTTAAACCTTCTTTTTCAAGCCGATGTGAGGGGAGGAAAGCTGGCGGGAAGCTGAGGTTTTGAATGCAGGGGTGTGGGAGTGGTCAGAGGCTGTGGGTGGAGTTGCGGTGGTGTGATTGGGCCCAGAGGGAGTGGGTGGGGCTGAAAGCCGGGCGAAGGGGCGTGGTGGAGGCGCGGCTGGGTGTGATGAGCGGACACCAGGGCCGTGCGGAGAAAGAAGGGGGGAGGAGTATTGGAAAGACAGGACACGCTGGTGGCTGAAGTGAAATGTCAAACACCCCACTGAGGGATGGGTGGTATTAATGCCAAGTGCCCCCGGAAGAATTGGTGATGTGGAGAAGGGGGGGGGGAAAGGGAGACACAGGGAGATTTGGGTGATGAGAATGGGTGGAGTTCATCAGCACATGACGAGAAAATGATTGCATGAATTGAATTACATTGGATCTGTGTGCTAATCACAGGGGGCAAAGGTGTGGAAAATGTTTGGATGTTGGTGAACCAGGGGACAGGGAAAGGGGGAAATGAGGAAGAAAGTTAGGTGAAGGTGAAAAAGTCTCACGTGTCAATTCATCACCCACGGCCAATCACACTTCCACGACAATTTGGGTAACAAGTTCACAATCACCCAATTCATCACCTGTGCCCACTACTCTACATAGGCCGCACCATCCGTCGCTCTACCACTCCACAGCACCTGTCATCGGAGGACACCCATGCCAGGACTCCCAAGGACCACTCCACGGCCCACCGCCCAGGCACCACACAGGCCACGCCGTCATCGTTGAGAGTCGCCCTCCACTATCTCCACGAGGGACTACTACCACCACCACTCCACCCCATCCGCTTGACCACCACCCGACGATTACAAGCGAATACTCACCCAGCCTCAGGTGAGTACAACACTTACGCCTACACCCCACTCTACCACATTTATTGCGCTAGGTAGTGGCGCTTCCGTCTCCAATTTTTGTTTCCCTGCTTTATGGCTTAACTCCTTACCAAAATGCTGTATACGTCTCACTTGCCGGTGATGGTGCAGTGGCAGAATGATGCCTCGCTAGTCCAACCAGCAAGGGAGCAATGTCACATTTTACCTGACTTCCCATTAGTCGTTTGCTATCCTTTTGTATAGCATTACTCAGTCTGAGTGAAGCAGGGGCACTGGTGAGCCATTTAGGTGATCTGATCTACAAAAAGAGACCGGCTGAAAAGAGGAGAGGGCAGAATGAGCAGAGAGATGACCTTCTGCATCTTCCTCTGCTTCTTTCTTGTCCAATGTAATGGCCTGGGCTAGGACATGTCGGCAACGCAATGTTATTATCAGTCTGTTATAGGTTTCCTTTGTGTATTTAGGTGTTTGTCTGTACTTCAGTTCTAATCGTATGTCAATTCTTCTGGTGTTGATGTTGTGATGTCATTTGGGTCAATGGGTTGTTACTGATTACAATTTTCGTGTTCGATTAATCGGAAAAAAATTTCTTTTTTACTTCATTGCTGTGCTGTATGTGTATAGGCCAATGCCTTGGCTGGCGCTCGTGCAGAATAACTTCCTTGGGCAAACCTCTTAGTTCCAAGTAAACCGGAAGTCATGCGGTCCGAAAACTCGATAAGTTGGAACTTTCGATCGAACACCGGCCCAAGTGGCTTCGTCATCTAACGAAGGGAAGGGGGGAGGAGTCCAGTGACGTCACGGACATCGACGTCACCGGACTCCTCCTTCTTTCCTTAGCCGATGGCGCCACTTGGGGGAAGGGTGGAGGAGTTCGGTGACTATGTCAGTGACGTCACCGGATCTCCTACGGAAGATCCGGAAGCCAGCGGAGAGGTGAGTGTTTTCATCATTGATCAAAATAATTTGAATCTATCAAAACTTTTAACGATTAATCGGGTAATTAATCGTTAATCTCCGCAGCCCTAAAATTTAACCTTTAACAGTAAATACATGTAAGATCAACAACGTGTCTCCTATTTTATCCAAGTAACAAAAAATTTAAGTGTCTTCTCAGTTTCCGTAGCATGGTAAATTTGTGGGAAGACTGGGGTAGGGGCTGTTACCTGCTGTCTCATTTTTCCATGTGTATGGGTCTCCACAGAAATGCTTTTTTTGGAAGTTACATGCAAAGAAACTACCTGGAAAGAGTAATTACATTTTTCTGAACACTTTGCGTTATATAAAGACTTTTTATTTTGTAAAACACTGCCTTGCCTAAATGTAATATAGAAAGCTATGTGAATTATTTGGGGGTGGCTTCCAGCAAAACACATGTAATATGTGCATACACATTGCATTAAAAAAATGCAGAAGTGTGACTGCAGATCAACTTGAAACTGATATTTGATGGTTTGTTTCAATTTCCACACATTTTGTATGGCAGGGATATGTAAGGGGATGTAATAGGCTTTTGATAGAGTTAAATTATCATTCTCTTAACAGGATGGTGACAAATTTTGGAGAATGCCTGAGTGCTATATACGTGGTAGCACTATCAAATACTTGCGCATCCCTGATGAAGTTATTGATATGGTGAAAGAAGAAGTGATGTCAAAGGGCAGAGGACGTGGTGGAATGCAGCAACAGAAACAGATGAAAGGAAGAGGAGGAGGAGGAGGTGGTGGCGGCGGCGGAGCAGGACGTGGTATGTTTGTTTATTATAATACAATAGACTCAATGGAAACCGTTCAAAATTCATGCCATTGCAAAGATTCACATCTCTTGTACCAGCCTGTGAAGATGGAGGGCAGGGAAACCTTTGGGGTCTAATAGACCCCTCCCGTCTCCATAAAGAGAATTTGTCACCTGCCAATGCTGTTGCATAGGTGCTTGTTAGCACCCTTGTGATAGCAATAAAGTTAAGTGAAAAAAAGCATTAAAGAGCAAGAAATGATAAAAAAAAATATACATGCGCATGCACGTGTATGTGAACAGCGACTGTGACACACTTGTTGGGTTTCGCTGTGCACATAGTCAGAGCAAAAATAATGCTCTTTACTCTCACCCTACAACAGGTGTCAACATTAATGAAGCCCGGTCCTCTTATTTCTCCATCTCAAATGGTTTGCAGCAGGGATGGTTGTCCTCTTTCTTCACTTATTTTCATCCTAACCTTGGAACCTCGTTAAGTTCTATTCACCACAGTCGTCTTATTTGGGTCTTTCGTTTATGCTCCCCGTAACATAGCCACGGCGTATGCCGATGACTTGATGATCTTCAACTTCATCTCCTCAGTCGACTCTTCTGGAACTAATGAGTGTTTTTACTGCCCTCCGTACAAGCCCACACTTGTGGTGCATTCTATGCGTGTTGTCATTTCCATGTGCTTGAACTCTATGTAACACGTTTCAACGAAATGGCATCAAAATGCTATAAGCAGATTTTTTTTTTCTTACTGTACTGCACTGGTGTGAAAGGGCTCTTTGTCTTCTTGTGACCCCCTGTTTCCTTATTTCTTGTACTGGTGTCACAGGGATAACCTAGTGGCTTCACAGAGGGCAATAAACAGATGTTCTAATACTTGTGCCTACTATTTAAAGCTCAACACCAGCCACAACTCTTTTTAAAGTATTACTAAAGGCAAAGGCTTTTTTTTTTTTTTTTACCTTTTAATGCATTCTCTGCATTAAGGTAAAAAACACCCAGTACCTTCCTGTAACCCACAACCCCCACCTTCACACACTCTTACCTGTGGTCAGTAACCACCTCCACCAGGACCTAGAAGATACTTGGTTTTCCACGTACTTCATGGTCCTGGGGCAGGGTACTAAGGTCAGGCTCCTTCTGCTGTCACTCAGTGTGACTGTGGGAGCAGCAGGCATAGCTTGCTATGGACGCAGACAGCTAGGTTTGGGAACGCACAAGCACAGGTGTCTCCTCAGCAGCTGGCTAGCGAATGGAGACACCCACAGACGAGGAGTGGTGGCTAGCGTTTTGGGGATAGCTAGAAAATGAGGAAACCAAAAGGTTTTAAAAAGAAACCAAAGGAAGTCCAATCAAACCTGGCCCTCATAGCAAAAATGTTAAAATGAAGGTTTAATATAACGTTAACATGGAACTTTTGCAGTGCCACAAAAGGTCACTAGATGTCAGTGTTGCCAAACAGTAACGGTGAAGCAAACTTGTTTTGCTTTAGAGAATGTGGCAGGCTCAATACAAAATGTTTAATGTCACTTTAAAAGAACTATGGCCCAACCTTTTTTGGCCATAGTTCTCTTTAGGGTCACAGGAGGACACTTACTAGGTCCTCCTGTGACCCAAAACTCAGCATATTAGTGGCACTATATGATGACAGTGCAGAGCCGCGCTGCAGCCGACAATGATCCAAACCATATTGTTGGGGATCCATCCCGCCACATTATTGACAACTGGCTCTGCCTTTCTAGAGATTCAGTGTCACACTTCAGCTCTAATTATGGGGATGAGTCTATTTCACTCTTTTTCATAATTTCTTCTTTTTAAATATTTTTTTTAAATGTGGCACAAAAAATGTTTTCCTAGTCCAACCATAATTTTAATTGCACTTTCTAGTTCATATCAAATCAAGAACAATGCTAAATTTGCCTTTATTTCTTTGCCCACAGGTGTTTTTGGTGGAAGAGGCAGGGGAATGCCTGGAGGTGGCAGAGGTGGACCCCAGGATAAAAAGCCAGGCCGGCAAGCTGGGAAACAATGACCGTTGGACTATATTGTGGGGTTTTTCCTTTACAAAAGTGGGAGACTGTAAATTCTATTTCACTGTCTGGTCAAGTGTCTGAAGCGGAAAGCATCATAATTTTCCCCATAACTCATGTAGAGAGCTATATAGATGTCACATAGATGTCACAGGTGATGAAAAGCCAGAGGTAAAATAACTTTTATAATTTTGCAAGCTATAAGTTTGATTAAAATATATCTAATGGCTATCTAATGTTTTTTTTTTTTCTTAAGGAAGGGTTAAAACTGCTTTTTTTGCTGTGTCCCATTAGGGAAATGTCACTTCCTTTTCTGTAGACTTAACAGGAAGTGAGAGGATATCTTTCTAATGTGAGGGAAAGCCCCTTTTAGTTGTCACAAGAACAAATGTCCCTGTTGGGAACTCACCCCTCTCTTCCTGTTTTGGTGGTAACGCAAGATTTTGTATTTGCCTTTTTACTTTCATTCCCAGAGACATTGGTGATCGGGACAATTGAAGAGAGTGACTCTCCATGGGGCACAGACGATAACAAAAACCTGACACTGATTCTAACCCCTCACTACTCCAATTTTTTTTTTTTGTAATAGACTATGGCTAACACAAAATGAGTAGTGTGGAACACCTTACTTGTTACAACTGTGTAGATAACATCTTTTTATTTGTGTCACTTTGCTCTAGCAAAAACAGCTGTAAATCTAAGCCACAAGAACTGTATTACCAAGGTCAGCAGAAAGCTCCCCCAACACACCATCTTTTTCCAGGCTCAGACAGGGGGTGGATGCTCGAGGTTAGTCACTGGGGATGGGAGTGTCATTTTATATTACCATTTGCCCATTATGGGTAATATAAGAGTCTGTCTGAGCCTTGACTGCTTTAAAGAGTTTAAAGTGATTCTGATAGTTAAAGTTGCTGAAACCGTGCCCCTGTAAAGGAGTAAAGTAAATACCAGCCTCCGCTATTTACTGCCTGTGTTGCTGGAGGCTGCTCCTTTGAAATCCTCCTGTGAAGTGTCCCAGGAACAGTCAGTATGGGATACAGAAGATGAATACTTCGAGAAGTGTCAGTTTCAGAAGACACTTTGTGGGTATTTCTATACAGTAGAGCTGTGTTCAGTAGCGGGGGGCAGCAGGAGAGGGACACTGTTTGGCAGCAACTTTAAGTGGCAGGGCCGCTTTAAAGTTGTGGACATGTTTTCTATTAATATTTTCAAAGTGACTTGCTCCAGTAAGGATAGAAACAAGATCCTTTTATTGTGTTCTCTTTGTAGAGTTTTTGTAAACAAATTTTTAGATACACTTGTCAGTACTAAAGGGTCATTGGTCTGTGTTTCCAGGGCAATATGCAGGTACCAAGTGATGTGTGCACATGGCTTTTGGAAGTCCTCTCAAGTGACACAGGTTCCCCAAATTTCAGTGCACTGTGATGTGGCAATTGTTACACTTTCAGTAGTATCAAAATCCAGCCTGCCCATCCAAATTCATTCAGCTTTCCAGTGGCCCTTTTATGATTGGCAGACTTGCTGGCCACTAGAATAATCCAGGGAGTGGGTAGTTTCAGGACAAACATATCCAGGAAATGCTAAAATATACACCAACTCAACACCGTCCCTTGCATTTGTGGTGCTCAAGAAGACTTTTAAAGGAGAACTATGGGGTTAGGGCTTTTCCCCATAGTTCTCCTTAGGGTAACAGGAGGCCACAAACTAGCATCCTCCCGTCACCCTAAGCTCAGTATACCACGAGCTACAACTCGCGGTATGCTGAGACGTTGCTGCTGAAGCGGATCCCGACAATTATGTTTGGATCCGCCCAGCTGCGTGACTGACAGCTGGCTCTGCCTATCTAGAGGCAGAGCCAGCTGTACCCGCCCCGTCCGTTCCGCCAGTCAGTGCTAGAAGATCGGACAGGGGAGGGGAGAATCCAGCCCCTCCCCTGTCATGGCAGAGAGCCGTGACAGGATCGAGAGGTGAGCGAACGCCGGTATGTGTTCGCTCACCTCCCGATCTACTGAGCCGACCTGTGACAGTCTCATTGTCACAGGTCGGCTAGAACTATGAGGTGAGTGTAAAGCAAACACCTCATAGTTCTCCTTTTAAGGTATCTGCATGCACCTTTCCTGAATGCCTTTCTTCATCACAGCCATCACTGAAATAACTGCTGTCAGCAAGAGGGGATTTGCAGAGCAATGTGACACTATATCTGTTTAAATGAAAAATCATAGACGGGCAAACTGCAGTTTAGTTACTGCAAAAATCTGCAGTTCTAAAGTAGTTTGTTAGTTTTTCATATTGCATCACCGTGTAATATAATTCCATCTGTAAAATGTGTTCTAATTTCACTGATTGGCACCAGATTCTTAAGGCAAAAAGTAAAGCATTGGTTTTCTGGTTTTCTTCCAACTTCTTAACTACATCTCGCTGGAGATTTTAAGTTCACTTAATAGATGCTCCCACCAAAGAACATACTAGGTACATTCTCTGCTTGTATAAGGTTCTGGAATGTTCTGGGCAAATAAAGGTTACAGTTCCTCAACGGCACTGGATGTTTTCAAATATTTTGGAGTAGTCATAGCAACGGTTGGAGCTAATCAGCTGCTGCTTTTATTTTATTTTTTTACATTCGAAAGAAAATTTAATTTCGTTGTCCTTTTAAAGGAGTTTGCGTGAACTTTTTGGGTGTTTGTGGCTGCCAAACTTTAATATTCAGCTCATTTTATTTGCAGTTGTTGAAACATGTTAATGCCCAAATATTTGTTGTGGTATTTAAAATGCCTTTACAACTGGTATTTTGTATTTTAACACAACTACGTCTTGGAACAGTGTCAAAGTTGTGCACGTTAGTTTAAAGTCAAACTCTAGATATCTGCACCAGAATTCTCTGATTTCTCCATTATATAGCCGGAAGATAGGGCCATGTTCCCCTACTGCAAAAGAATGAAATGCTTGTTTTGTGCAAAATGGAAAAACAGATTTGTGGTTCAATCCATCTGAGGATAAATACCTGGCTTTGGGTAGAGTTGATTGCTAAAGTTTTTGATGGTGTTTTTGTTTTTTTATGCTGGGGGAGGAG